CGTTTCCTCCAATTTTCGATCAAAGATCTCGCATTTCCACTGAAATAAAACGCGAGCAAGCGTTGGTCTACATTTTCTCTATCAGCGCAGTGAAAACGATGCGAGCCGGAAGATGAACGAAGCGAATACACATCGTATAAAGCATTCGGTTCTGAAGGAAGGTGTCAGTTGGAAAGTGCGAGCTCGCGTACGAAGAACGAGAAACGAAACGAAGGTCGAAGCATGAAAACGTGGCTCTACTCCCTGTGTTTACCCGTGATCTTCTTTTTCGGTGAGTCTCGCGATTCGTTCGTTCCTTCGACAACAGATCACGGCAGTCCTTTTAGATCTTCCGTGGCCAACGAAAACAAAACTTTTACAGTGAAACGTGATACACTGATTAGAAAAATATTTGTACTAATTGAAAGGAAAAATGAGAATATTGAGCTTGCTTCTTTTTTAGATACCAGTTCATCAATATTTGGTTCGATGAACAGGTAGTGGCAATACGAATACATTCAAGATACTGGTCTAAAGTTTTTGTTCTTATTTCATTTCTCGCGTGCTTCATACGGGGGAAAAAATCTGTTCGCAGTTATAAGTAATGTTCGACAGGGACATCGCGAACATTCGTGGTTAAAATTATTCAAATAATAAAATTCTTATTGAATTATTCCAATTTTTAGTGGCCGCTGAAAAATATTTAACAGAAACACACGTTTAATTTTTTATTATTTTATTTGGAATTATAATTTTATAATTTTATAATTTTTTAACCTAAAAAAAAAAAAAATAAAAACAGGCTGAAAACGAGTTACGACTTTCTCAAACCCTTCAGTTTGGTATACATATTTTTGACACATAACCTACAAAAAAAGAAAATAAAATAGGCTTCAGTTTGGTACATCGAGGTATGTTCTAGATCGATCGCGATCGTTTTCGGGAAATTCCAATCGACGCCGATATTTCCGACGTCTTCGAATGGAAACAGTTAAACTTCCGCAGGCTGCGAGTTTCACTTCCATTTTTTTGCGAGCCGATGAAAATATCAGGGAAGACAACGGGAGATTTCTCGACTCGAACGGAGCCGTGAAAGTGTTGCAAAAGTTTTGCAAAAGTTTTTGGCAAAAGTCAGACCAGTTGTTGTTTCGTTGCAAATTTGGAACAATACGCAGCACGCATATATCGATTCGGCATATTTAGCTCGGCGGAAGGAAGAGAACGAAGATAGCTTTTGGCAGAACGTTTGGGATTCGATTGAATTTCCGTATATTTTAGCGAGCACGTCGCTGGGCGAAGAGAAATCGGAAGACACGCCGTGCATCGACGATAACAAGTTTTATCGGAATCCCAATGCACCGACGCGCAACGTTTGGTCGCCCGCCGAATGTGCCAAGTATTATCTCTGCTTGGGTAATTCTGTGTATATCATCGTGTTACAATCGTGCATTCGTTTGTTCGTTTTCATCGGGCTTTCGAGATTTCAATGGATTTTTTTCATTGGCAGACAACGAGGTGTTTGAGTTCAGATGCTCTCAGGGGTTGCTGTTCGACGTTTCCAGGCAAGTGTGCGATTTCAAAGCGAACGTCGACAACTGCGACGTGATGTCAGGTATGCACGACATTGAAATTTTGTTGATTGTAACACTGTACAGGCCGACGATTTCGCATGAGAGACTATGCACGTGAAAATAGAATAGAAATTAAAGATTCGTATAATAAAAGAAATTAGAATGAATAATAACAAAAGTAATATTTTTAAACATGTACGTATATATTTAATAATTTCCTTT